CATATTTTTATTTGTTTGTCTTTTATTAAATAGGAGTTAGAAAAGTAAATTAAGGCTAAAGTTCTCGTGGGAACGATAATCCGGACTCAAAGGTCCACTTTACTACTTGTTACGATATCGTACAATTGCGATATAAAAAACGCAACATGAATTCAGAAAAGAAACTTAATCGAAGCACATAATTTGAAGCAACAACCACATCAATCAAATTATTATTATTATTGAAGCAATGACTAAATCAACAAAAAATTAAATAGAGATATATATAGTTTTAGTAACAAAGTTAACATATTTAAAAATCAGCTAGGTCCTCAAACAAGCTATAATTAATAATTCAGCAAGGGATTCGGTTTTACCCTCTTGGGCATGCTTGGCTCTTTTAACAGCAGAAATAGTACCCCAAATATGTGAAAAATGCCTTATAAACAATGCCATAGGCCACATGCCCGACAATCCTGCTTGAATGAAATCCCACAGTTTGGAAACTGCAACTTCTTCTTATTATTCATGTAATAAATCCAAGCAGTAATCAAATTCTCACTCTTCAAATTCACACTTTGCGGCATCAGATTGGCATCTTGATTGAGATAATGCTGTTAATATCCAACCCAACATGGTTGTCTTTAGGATCATTAAAGTGCAAATCTTGTTGTGTACTAAATTCAATTGCAATAAATTTGTTCTTGGTCAATTGCGATGAATTGACAAGGCCTAAGTACCCTCCTGCATTTCCCAAGTACGCATAAATAATTAGAATTCGTAAAACGTACATAAGAAAAATCCTCAAATTTTCTGGGATCTTATCTGAACTCACAGAAAATATATTAGAATTAGAGAGAAATATCAATAACCGTGCTTATATTCAAGAAATCAAAAGACAACAGACCAATTAATAACCAATTGAGCCTCTCAACTATGATTTTTCACATACACAGAGAAAAATGGAAATACCCCAACATTATCATATATATAAGCAGTACAAGGTAAATCGAAAAATAACGCGCGCGTGTGTGTGTGTGTGTGTGTATTAAGCACATATTATACTGATTAATGGCGAGAAGAAGAAGAAATGAGAAATCTTAAGGGGCAATGTGGAGAATGGAAGAGTAAAGAGGTATGATTGGTTGAGTGGAAAAATGAAGAAAGAGCAAAGACGGAGTGGCATGTGGAAATGGAGAAAGCAAAGCGTGGAGGAAATGCAGGAAAAAAAATTGATTTTTGATAACGATAGGAAATCGTGATACGTGGTGTGCCAAATGTCTTGGCTCTTTTATTTTATAGTGAATATAAATTATAAATTTGAATATGTTGTAATTAATAAATATTATTGGAATATAATTATCTTTATACGAGTTAATTGTTCCAATAATTACTAAATTTGTGTTCATGTCTTCAACTGTTCACTAAAATTCCAAATGTCGAGTTTTGATCACTAAATTTACCAAAATATTTGGACGTTACTTATTGACATGATATATGTTTCACAACTCTAATGAAATTGGTGACATAACAAATGGAATGTATAGGTGGCGTCCAAACACTATTATGTAAATTGTCGCGTTAGAAAGACGTATTTGATTGTTCACTATACTTTGGAAGACACATTGATTGTTCACTATACTTTTAAAAGATGCCCTTTATTGCTCACTATACTTTAAGGTGATTAAGTTTTGACACTAAACTTGTAAAACCGACACCGACCTATCCTGAAAATTTAGGAATGCAATTCCAAGTATCACTTGCATACAACAAATTTTATTTATTTGTGGATGGGTGCTATTGAGTGGAGGCTTACATAGCTTGCTATGAAAATATAATCAATGCGATGAACAGTCTTTGTACNTTTGTTGATTGTTGCTATTCAGTGGAGGCTTACATAGCTTGATATGAAAACATACTCAATTCGATGAACAGTCTTTGTACCAACTGTGGATGTTCATCCAATCGAAGTTCCTAAATAGATGGGTAAACAAAAGGGAAAGACAAAAATAAATAAATAAATAATTGAAGTGACCTTTTTTTTTAATGACAAAATTATGGTGAATTGGAGGTGTCTACTCCATGTGTTTTTGATTGATGACAGAATACAGGTGTACTTTTTTTTCAAATGATATATGTTTTTGGATGATTTTTGGTGTGTTTTTTGCTGCACAAAAATATTGGCTGCAACTGATACATGGTGGTTTATTGTTAATATAGATTACGGATTTTTTGGGTGAATACCATGCATATTTTTGTTAAAATCAGTCATTAGAATCCTCAATATATATATATATATATATTTTTTTGTCATTTTATTGTATCCATCTTCATAGTTATATTTTTAATTAGTAGCTACAAATGTTGATCAATATTTATGTGATAAATTGTAGATTGTCCAAGTTAACTTCAACCGGTATAATGCATAATTTGATGATAAGTGGCTTTGAGAGAGATCAAGCATCAAGATGTTTAGGCTTTAACATGGATGAAGATGTCTCTAATTAGAATTGAAATTTTGCAATTTCTAGCTCATATCCTTAGTTTTCTCCTAAAAACTTAGTTTCGAATATATCGAATATAAAAAGAATTGCAACAAAACTCAAATATATTACGAAATGTCTTGAAACATTCGCTTTTAACATGTTGCAAAATTAAATTTTGTTGTATACAAGTGAAACTTGGAACAACATTCCTAAATCTTCAAGATAGGTCAGCATCAATTTACAAGTCTAGTGCTCAAAATCCGACCATCTTAAAGTATAGTGAGCAATCAAAAATGTCTTTTTTACATGGCAATTTGTATAACAGTGTTTGGACATACCTGTACATTTTGACTGCCATGTTACTAATTTCTTTAGAGTTGTAAAACAAATGTTATGTTAGCGAGCAACTTCCATTATTTTGATAAGTTTACTAGTCAAAACTCAACATTTTAAATTTTAGTGAGCAAAAAACATTTATATAAGCTCCTATTTGACCTCTATTAAAATTATAATTCATTTTTCTTGTTAACCGCACATTCTCGAAAAACAAAATATTATACATAAACCTAATTTTTTTTTTCTTTTTTAACTACACATTCTTCAAATAAGAACTATTCCAAAAATTAAAATGACAAATACTCGAGGCCAAACGGGGCAAAAGTTCAGTGATTATTGAGACAATTGTCTATCCTTACACTTAAAACTATTTTAAAAATTGCTCCTAGCCATTTATAGTCCTCGACAAGGCTCATTCCATAAATTCCCCACAGAATCAGATTGGCAGATTTGGGATGAGGGGTGGGGGACTAGAGCTCTTGCTAAGATCGAATAAGATAGGTAGATTATACACACACACACACACGCACACGTAGTGCCACCATACCATTGTCCGCGCCTTGCTAAGCAGAAGCGACGATGATCATCGTTGCGAAGCAACGACGCAGCACAGTAGAGATGCACAACCTCGCATACTCGACAATAAATATAGGAAAAGGTGGTATCATTATTGGAAGAAGTGGTGGCTCTAGCGTAGATTCATCCAGTGGCAAGAGAAAAACTTGTGGTGGCTCTTGTGGTGGTGTGAATATTGAGAAAAGAGATAGCTTCGGCGTAGATTCATCTGTTGGCGGAAGGAAAACTTGTGGTGACTCTTGTGGTAGTTGTGGTAGTGCGGATATTGTGAATCCACCTTTCCAATCTCTTTTTTCTCTATCACTGCGTTGCCGTACATGAATCCATCGTTCCATTCTCTTTTCTCTCTGCCAATGTGCTGCTGCGCCTTCATGCCTAGCAATACATCATCGTTGTGCTGCACTATTTTACATAGCAGCACTTACCGTTGTGCATGGTTTTGGGCTGTTTTCAGATGATTTGGGGTTGATAGTTGTTTAGATTTGAGATGGGAGCTGTGTTTTTGGGTGGATTGTGGGTGGTTCGTGATCGCTGTAGCGCCAACAGGCAGTGACGATGGTTGTTTTGCACAAGTTTAGATGACAATGCGGTGGTGGTACAGCAGTGCAGTGCTGTGGGTGTGGTGGTTGTTTTGCGATTGCTATGCGGTGCGGTTAGGTGAGGGCAGTGGCGGCAACGATAATAGTTGTCGGGGTAGTTGTGGTTGTGGGGTGCGAATAGTGTTTTTGACCAATTATTTGGTTGGTCGTAATCAATAAATTTGTTAATGTTTGATCAATAAATAATATGTGATCAATGAAATAAGTAATTTATGACCAATAAATAATATTTGACATATAAAAATGTGAGATTTTGACTAAATTTGTAATCGTGGCTTACAATTTATTAAGTTGTGACCAATTAATTTAATAATTTATAACGAGAAATAAATTGTGACCAATTAATTTCATAATTTGTAACCGTCAAAGTTATGACTTATAAAATTTGTGATTTGTGACCGAAAAATAATACGTGATCTATTAATTTGATAATTTATGATCGATAAAGAAATTGTGACTTATAAAATTTATGGTTTGTGATCGAGAAATAATATATGATCAATTAATTTGTTAATTTGTGATCGAGAAGTAAGTTGTAATTTATACAATCTGTGATTTATGACTGTGACGTGTGTAATTGTGATTAATACATAACTCTGACCATAAATTATATAATATTACGATCTTAATATTTTTAATAAGTAAAATTTAATTTAGATCTGATATTTGAAATAATAAAACTAAATTCTTAATTTTGAAATCGTATTTTGTAATCATCTTAGGTAATTTTTAATTTAAATTTTTTTTAAAAGCCCGGTTCCAAAGATTAGCTCAATCCCAGCCTAAAAGCAATAAAAAGTTGAAGCCCAATTGATTACGTCCAAAGAATAACGTGGTAGTTGTAGCACANCTCGTGCTGAGGTCAACTTCTCTTTCAAAGTGTTGAATGCCAATAGACATGATTACGCCCAACGAATAACGCGGTAGTTGTAGCACAACTTTGGGGTGTCGTATCCACAGGGAGATGGAAGAATATTTAAAGGATTAAAAAGGTTGAATTGTTTTCTCAAGTTTGTAATAACATTCAATGTTAAAAGGTGAAATTAAAATCAATAATTTGAAGTAGTGAAGTATCAGAATTCCCTCAATTGGATTAGATCGATCATATCAATTATTCATTTTTATAACAAAATTAGAGGCTTTCATCTGACCACTCTAATCGGAAGATATATCTTGAAAACCAATTTAATTTATAAATGTAATTCTAGAATTTAGACTTAAAACATATTCGTACAATTTTATTGGAACAAGATCAAAGATCGACCATGTACATCAAGCATAAGGCAGTAATC